GCACTGGAATCGTCATAAAGCGACAACTTCCGGCAGGATCTCAAGCGAACACTTAGCTCTGTGTGTGTGTGTGTGTGTGTGTGTAAAAAAAATAAAAGTATTCGTAATATTAATTACATTATTAATATCACATCTTATGAATATGTTAATTATATCGGCGCTCTTCAAATTATTTTCTTCTGTCTGCGGGAATCTTTTAACTTTTTCTTTACAAAAAAACGTTAATCCAAGAGATTGTATAAAGTTACAGTATGCAACAAGATGCATAAAATTAATTAAAATACATTAAAATTAATAAATACAATAACCAATAAAATCGATATTATATTTATTGGAAGATTATCAAAGATGCTATCCACCTGGCACAAAGATTAAGAAAATTACATTAATTCGCGTAAGCGAATTAGTTAAGCGAAGCAACGGCCTAACGCAGGCCATTGTGGATTTGTTGAACTCGAATGCAGTTCGCCGGCCTTGAAGTTGCATTTCTCTCGCCGCTCTTTTGCACACATCGACACATATGCAACGCACGTGGCGAGACGCGAACTCTTCTTTCTCTTTCTTCTTTTTATGCTCCTTCCTCTCCTCCCTCTTTCTTTCTCTTTCTCTCTCTTTCTCAAGTAACTAACTTACAGATCGATATAGATACATGCAGTAGTACTCGGCGATACGTGACGCTCTTAGGCTAATCGACTCACCCACTGACTCATTACATGGGTTTCTCGAACCGGTGCTGGTGCAAGAATTTCTCGACAAGTTATTAACCTCTTCATAAAGCTGCATATTTAATACCAAAAACTCTCTATTTTGTCCACTTTTCGTAGACATTTGTTGATATTATAAATGAAAAATGGACAGTGAAAAGTGGACTAATTTATTAAATTAAAAATATGGGATATATTGATTATAGATCGTAAATTAAAAATTAATGTATTTTCTCTATTAGTAAATAAAATAAAAAGTAATACTGAATTTATTTCTTATTTGTAAAGAGTAAATTGTAAACCCTAATTATTACAAATATTAAAAAAATAAACTTTTAAAGTTGATCACCGGTGATATGCATAATTTTTAGTAAGTTCAGTTTCATTTTCCTAATTATTATGCAAGTAATTTATTCTCTCCGTATTATTAAATTATTACGTGATAAAAGAATGAAGAATATTTACAACTCTTACGATAAAAATAATTGATGCAATAGAATAACAGAAATAGAACAGGATTATAGATTTATTCAACGACACATGCTAATCGTGTTTCCATATTAATGTCGTATAATCCGTAAAGCTTTTACGTTTCCGGATACAGAAGATAGAGAATCGCGAATCATTATGGAAATTAAATTTTACGGCATTCGCATTCCTGACCGTATTAGAATGACGTAATTGCAGATAGATAGACGGATATGCATTCCTTTCGTCGCACAAAGTTGCTGTTTTATTACAAGCTTGTGCAACTCTTGCGATTTGTTTTGGCGAACGATCTCGCTGTCGCAGCATTCTTCGACAGTAAGCTAATATTATCGCACACAAAAATGCTTGCGTGTCGAATTTGTTGCAAACATCCTCTGTTGACGTTACTCTGTCATGATAACTTTTCGCGGATGATGAAAATTATTAAATATTAAAGATGGGAAAAATATAAAAAAAAATATTATTTAAAGAGAATAACAAATGTTTTACAAAAAATTATTAATGCGTGACATAAATAATACAAATAATAACAATATAGAAAATTGATAATTTATTTTAATAAATATTAAAATAAGCGGTATACTAGATGTAATTAGCACTCGACCGAATGCTTATGTGCTTTCCACGCGATCAACGAGGTGTTAAAAATGTAACAGGTATAAATAAATGTATTAAATATGTGAAATAATATTTCGCCTGTGGCGACAATAGAAACGTGTGAAATTTATTCCAAAGGCAAAGTAAATAAAATTCAAAGCAAATAAAATAACATTCTATTCATTTTATTCATTTTTGTTTGTTGTTTATAATTTATTTCAAATTTTCATTATTTACTTTATTTTTTGTTATTTCCATTCTGATCTCTAAACTCAATTTTACAAATAAAATAATTTTCTATCTATCATTTTGTGATGTTCCTGCTATATGTTTCCCTTATTTTATGCTCATTTTGTTACATGTGATCTAGTCATTCTTTCAGAGAAAGCAAAAAAGTTTCACATTACAGGTTATCCCAATTCATAACAAGCGATGTTGTAATGGATCAAGAGTCATCGCACTAGTGGGGAACAATGTAATTGATTTGCAAAGATGCACCGACTGCTCGGTGCTATTCATTCGTGGAGAAAGCGCGACGAGTGTATCGGCCTTGTTAAGTTTCAAAGTTACACACATACACACGCACATTTAACGGCGAGGAGTTTGCAACCCATCGCCGATAACCCTGCGCTTACTATGCTCCGAATCAGAATTTTCCGCGTATTATAAATCTCCCAACCAAGTTTTCATATTATATCCACGAAAGAAAAACTTCTTTTACAGACATAAGCGCGCGTTTATGAAATCATTCGATCAATCGTAATAATTACATTAACCTGTCTTTGTTTTTCAAAGATTATATTAGAATTGTTAAATATTCATATATAAGATCAATGTAGATAATACAATCATAAATAAATATATGCATGAAGAATAGAAATAAACATATGCATGAAGAGATAAATAAAGCTAAATAATTTAAAAAATATTAATGTAATGTGTAATAAAGTTATATATTTTCTTGGTTAACCGTAAAACCGTAGAGAAAAGAGTATTCAACGCGAATCTGGAACATTCTATATCTTCACTACACTTGGTGAGTCACGTAGAACGTATGAATCGATGTTAACTCGCAACATCTCGATATCGAACGTTTCAAGCTCTTTCGAATATATATGTACTTTAAACGTGTATGTATTTATACATTACACACACACACACACACACACACACACACACACACACACGCACT